AAAGTGCATATGAGGGTGGATATGTGTCTGTCCAAGTGTGAACACACAGGCTCTCAGCAAGACGCTTTCTTGGGAGAATGACACTCAAGCATTTTCCCCTACCAAGACAATCCATTATTAAACAAACCTTATTTATCACTTGGTTAACATGCCAGCAAGGAAACCCCTTGCCCTAAAAACAGCCAAGCCCCTCTCCATAGAGTGCTTTACATGTAAATGTAGGCCTCAGTGTATGGCTAAAACCATCCCAAAGTCCAAAGTTTTCAGTGTTACGTGCCTTGTGCTAGAACACAGGGCCAGCCTTACACAAGGGTGGTTGAGTCTATCTCTATATTATAATCTTTATATCTATTGAAAACATAGAAATATATAAATATATAGGATTTCATTTATAGATATATAAGCATGTGATTTTAATCTTTTGTACTGTGTGTATATGTAGTGGGATGTGCGTATATACAATATATAGACCATATGCATATGTACTGTATACATACACTAGCTTACATGCACACACATCATACGTGTCTCCAAGGGAGACAGGAATTGCATAGGCATTACTGCATTGGATACAATGGCTGGGGGATTAACGTACCATTTCTCTGCTTTTAAGACCTCTTTTAACAGGGCTGAAAGGGGAATCTGCAAAAGCAGAGGCTGTTGCTGTTTATTTGCAAGCCAGCTGTCTAGGCACTGGTCAAACAAACAGCAATCCTCATGATATAAGAAAGGATGGGGACTCCAAAGACCCTGTGGGCCATCTGGTTGAGTTTGTGCTGTGAGAAAGAGATGGACCAAGCCTGATTCACGTCTGAACAGTCATACCAGCAAAAGCGTCACCAGTTTGGGAGACATGGCTGCAGCTGGCTCAAGACCCAAGGCAGACGCCACATGAGGACCCTGCCCACTGTGTCCCCTCACAGCCCCCATAACTTCTGTGTGCTTTTGCTGGTATGGGAAGAGCTTTGGTTTCTTGTGAGGATTATCCCTGCTGAGGTCGGTCTTGTGGCTGGAGGGCCTGGATCCCTGTGGACACAGGTGAGCCCTGCAGAAGGACATGTCTAAATGTGCTTCACAGATTTCTGCTTCACAGCAGGGTAAAAGAGGCAAGGAGCCTGAGCAAAAAGTGGGGAAGGGAAATTGGCAACCAAAAATCCCACGGGTTAGAAACAGAAACCCGAGGGTTTGGAGAAGTGTGCAGTATTCACAGTCAGATGCCACAGCTAAGATGCAGGGGAAGGAGTGTGGGAAGGAGACAATAAAGAGGTCATTCAAGAAAAACCGAATTCTCTGTCTTTGCAGCCTAACCAGTTCAAGACACTGTGAGGAACACATTCAAAACAGCTCCTCTTGATCTCTCAGCACAGCAAGAAAGGCATTGATTAAACCTGATGCATGGCAAACTTGGAGCCATGGAGGCCTCCCTCATCACCTTGCTAAGCCCTCCCCATGCCTGCTGCTGCCTCCTGGCCTCACTGACACCAGACTGGGCCCAGACAAACAGCAAACAGAGATGCACCTGCTTCTGGGAAAGGCTTGGGAGCCCTGGGAAGCCAAGGGTGCTTTGCATTGATATTCCTCCCTCCTCCCTGTCTTGTAGTCATGTTTCCATCCATGGACTATCCATGAAAGTAAGAGCTACAGATCTGACAGGTGGGTTAACCTGGAGGGAAAGCTTGCAAAGCACCTGCATTTATCCTAGGGCAAAGACCAGGTTTATTTTCTGATGTGCAGGTTAACAGGGAATTGTGTTGGAGGAGATGGGATGTGCTGGGCTGGGCCAGCTGCTCTACCAAGCTCTTGTCTATCCTCATCACCAATGTAAGGGGTCTCTGACCGCTCCTATCATAAGTATCCATAACATCCAGGGGCAGGGAATCACTGTTTGCAAGCAAAGTTATTTGCTACAGGAACAAGTGCTCTGCCTGTGTCTGCTAGCTGCCAGAGAATATCACCACATGCTGCACATTTCACTGCACCATTAGAAGTAAAAGCTGCCGGTGAAAAATGTCACTGATGAAAGCAGGATTTGCAAGTGTACCAAAGGGAAGGAGTAACAAATTGGAAGAGTAATTTCTGAAGAGGCCTCTGGCAACTCTTACCTCACCATTTCCTCCCCGGTAGCAAAAGTTAGGAGGCTTGGATTGAGAGTTGTAAACAGGTCTCTCAGGCTACTCAACACAAGTCCTGGGGGAGCATTCCTCTTTCCAAAGGTGTCTGGAGACTGTCCTCAAATATTCCTCCCCTCCATGTGGGCCAGGCACTTTGATGGGCCTCTATGCCAAGGAGTTTTGCTGCTGCAAACAGAAAAGCAGGTGATTTTTCCTCTCCACCCACAAAGAGCTATGGATTCTATGATTTATGTTCACCATGCCCATCTCCAGTCAGAAATGAATGGAGCAGCAGTTTCTCTATCTTCTTTATCTTTTTGCATCTCCTCCAGTTTAAAAAAGGATGGGAGCCTGCCACCTCCCTGGCAGGCAGCAGCTCCAGAGCTTTGTGGCAGCACCCTGAGCAGAGCCAATTCACCATGCCTGGAGAGCTACGAGCACCTTGTGTGGAGAGATGGAGAGGTCCCTACTTTATGGTCAGGCAAACAACCACCCAAGGCTGTACTGCTGGCAGGGGGTTTCCAGTTTAATTTTCACACCTCTGCATGAATGGATCAACTTGATCGTATAATTTGTAAGAAAATACAGGAAAACGTGAAAACAAAGCCATTTTTCATGTTTCTCAGATGTGTCATATCAATGCCCCTGTGTTGCAACTGTGTGATGCCCTGACCTAGCTTGTGACATTTCCATGAGGACCACAAGGAAGAGCACCCAGCACCTGCACCCCTGGCAGCAGTTTGGCAGCAGGTGGGTGGCCCTCTCCTGCCTGAGCCAGCCTCAGGCTGCACGTGCTGTCAGAGGTAAGGCAAGGGGTAAGTGCTACAGAGGGTGCTGACCAGCCTGACCAGCCCTCACTGCTACATTCACAGGGTCCACGCTGCTCCGCTCAGATCATCTGACTGAAAGGCCCTGTTTTACAGCAAAGGGGCAGTGTCAGGACACAAGGATGGGCCACCACTTGTGCTTTGGGTGGGCTCAGTCCCTCCTCAGTCCCGCAGGAAGAGAGGCAAACACTTTCAAAACCCTGACCAACACCAGCCTAGCTGTTCCTATGTGGTCTGAAAGTTGTACCATAGTGGCTTGGCTGCACATCTCTGCCAGTGCTGGCTGTGAAGTTCTGCTGAAGGCAAAGGGGTTAGCAGGAGGTGAGTGAGACCTAGGTAGAAGTGTGTGTTTTCCTGGGGAAGACAGTGCGTGAACCCTGGCAGTGAAAGTGACTCAGAGAGAGATCAGTTCCAAACATGCTACATCTCCATTGAAAACAAACAAAAAAGTTTAAAAAATAAAATAATATTATATATATATATATATATATTTATATAAATGAAAAGCTATTAACTAGCAGCAACGGTTCTAGAGATATCTTAGCACCAAGACCAAGGGCAGGGGGTAACAGGAGAAAGGAAAGGTTCAGTGTTGCTGATACCACCATCATGTTTCCAAACAACACAGCTTGGCACAAAGCTCATCCCTCTGGGAAGTGAGAACATGTTGGCTTGGACACCTTTTGGACCACACATCTCACTCCCACGATGATCTGGTCAGGTTGGTGCTGTCCATGCCACATCAGCAGGGCAAGGCACTAGCATCTGTGGAGTTTTTGCACCTTTTTTGTTTGTGTGGTTTTTTTTTGGTTGGTTAGGGTTTTTTTGTGGTTTTTTTTTTTTCTCTTTTCTAACCTGAAGTGATATTGTGTGGATGGAGCTTGTTTACTTTAAAAGAATAAAACAAAGAAGAGCCCCAAGCCCACAAAACAATCTCTTTGTGATGAAAGGTGCAAGTCCCCCATTCACATTTCAGCTGGACTCTGCATTCTTCCAAGAAAGGAAGAAATATTTTGCAGGAAGAAGCAGAGCATCTCTTCTTCCTGCTGTCATCAAGTCAGCTGTGCTGTGGAACATGTTACCTTGGTCACAAGAGAGTAAGTGAACCTTTGTAGGACATCACACATGAATATAATCCAAGATAATCTTGCATTGATAGCTCCTGCCACCCAACTGCAGCAGGTTTTTTCTTTCAGTCATTCCAAACAAAACAAAACGAAACGAAACAAAAACCCCACAACAATCTAGGATTATAAAGACATGGTATAAATAATGTAAATTAGAATATAATTTTTAAGCCTTTGAATCTCCGCCCAGAGGTGGCTCTTGACTCATTGGCTGTCTAGCTTCCACAGCAGCCCTGGTTTTGAATGAATAGTTGTATATATATATATATATTTATCTCATACAATATAAAAATATAAATGCAAAAATTTCCCCCTGCCTTCTCTATTTTGCTATTTTATAGTCTGCACATGACATCATGTTATAACATATGTATGATAGACTGGTACTAGGGTTATCACAAAAGGAGCTGAAAGCCAAGTATTACTCTACAGCCCAAAGGTAGGGAGAACTGAGAAAGAGGCATCACAGTTTAGTGGAGGCATTTGTTTCTAAATCAGAATAAAAACCCAAAATAATGCCCCCAGCCCCTCTCTCCTGTCAGTAATTTTTTGAGTGAAGAAATATTTCACTCAGTTGAAGAGAACTGGGTGGAGCAGGGGGCAACAAAACACGGGATGCTCTGTCAGAAATCAGAAATCTGATGATTGCCAACAAAAGGCTCAAATGGCTCAATAACTGGGCTGAACAATGGAAAGAGAGGCAGAGATTGAAACCAAGGGAAAAACAAACAAACAAACAAACAAACAAACAAACAACCCCAAAATGAAACAAAACAAAAAACAACCCAGTAAACTGACAACACACATACAAAGGAAACTGCTGGGAGGATGAGGCTGACAAAGACCCGTTGTCTAGCTTATAGGTTGTTAGGTTTGAACATGTAGAGTATGGCCCCAGCACATGCTTCTAAAGAATGAAATGTTGCCACCTACATTGCAGCTGCCATGGTTGGAGACATCAGTAAATGTCTAAACATTGTCTCAATCTTTAAAATTCTGCTTAGCTTCTATCAGACGCACATCGTCTTAAATTTTCAGTGTGGGTTTTTCCTTAATATAGATAATATATATATTTTATATAATATATCAAAGTTTAGAGTATAGATTAAAAAAATTATCTGATCTGAGGCATTCCTTCCTAAATATCAGGGTAAAACTCAGAGCCATGGTCCATGCTCTGCAACATTGGCTTCTGGTCAAGAGATGACATCCTGCTCAGCATTTCGGCCGAGAGCGCGTAACTATTGCCTGACTTCTCCTCGAACCAGCTATCGAGTGCCCTTTTGCAATCGAAGTTGGCAATGGGCGGCCCGTTAACAGCAATTGTCAACAGGTCACTGAGTTGCTCCAGCGTGAGCCGAGAGCGGTTGTTCTTGCGCACTCTCTGCAGGGCGCTACGCCCCTTCTCACAGCAGGCCGAAGAGGTGGGAAGGACTTTGAGGATCTGAACTATTTTATTTAGGAGGGGAAATCTCTGTTTGTATTTACAAATGTGACTGAGCAAGTCTTTAAAACCATTTTTGGTATAATAATCCACTTTGAGTTCTCGCCACTCCATCAGCAGACTCCCTCGGGTGTCCATCCCCTCTCGGCAAACCTCTCTGGAAAATGATGGGACTGTTTCCAGGTGTTCAAATATTTGTACCATATCCTCCTTCCCATAGCTCATGAGCTCATCAGTGCTTCTGGGCCAAGCTGCAAGGTCAAATACCTGACAGGCCTTCACAAATGTCCGGCTGCGGGAATCAAACCTTTGGGCTAGGATCACCTGGGTCTTCTGGCAGATCTTTTCTCTGATTGACTGGAATTTGGCTTCAGCCACCCGTAGATTTTTCACTGCAATTCCATTAAAGCTTTCACGGAAGTTTTCCTCAAATTCCTGCAAGTACTCTCCTGGGGAGTCTGCTAGCCGGCTGATCTCCTGGATGGCCTCCTCTATTTTATCATCCACCTGCGACACAAGAAGATACTCCCCTTGGAAGACGTAGGCAAGGCGTGAAAGCACAGCAATCACATCCAGCAGGAAGTAGATGAGCTTGATCGACTGGTAGTCCATCAGGAACTGCAGGAGAGCCAAGGCAATGGCAGAAGCATCTGCTCTTTGGGTCTGGCCACTGACATCTTTGAGATGGGCTACGACCTCAAGGTAATCCTTGATGAGAGCGTTGAGCACGTTCTGCTCCCCAATGATCCACTTCACTGCTCGAATGTCCCCCAGGAATTCGGTCTCCTCACACAGAGTGGCAGCAGTGACCCTTAACTCGCACATGAGTCGGGGAGAATAACGATAGAAACTAAGCAGTTGCTTCAAATTGTTTTCTAGCTCCTCCAGACATGGTAGTTCCTTCCCGCTAATGGCATCCAAAATTTCCAAGTGGGGCCTATGCACCATAAAGGGAAGGCAGAGGAGCCAGGGCAAGGTCTTTCTGATTGTCATGAACAAGTTGGCTCTCAGGCTGGCGGTAATGTTAGCACCATCAACTCCCAAGCCGATCGTTGGCTTCTCATCCTGCAGTCGTATTCCCAGGCTGGAAAAAGCCCGGTCTAATGCTTGAAGGTAACTGTCTGTTGTAGAAAAGCCAAGTTCCTGAAGAGACAGGAATTCAGTTGCTGGAGGCCCATCACTGCTCGTGTACTGCACATAGACCGCAACTGTATCTGCAAGCAAGTCGTCGCTCTGCCCATCCAGAATGATGCTGAGGAAGGGAGATTGCCGGATGCGCTCAACCAGGTCCTCTCGGAGAGCCCGGGCGATATGGTGAATTAAAATCTGGCAGTCTCCTTCATTCATGTACTGATCCACCACCTTGAGTTCACACTTTCTCAGTAGTTCTGCCAGAGGCCGAAAGTCGTAGTAGGGCCTGCCCTCCAGTGCCAGGTGGTAGGCTGTATTGAAGAGCAGGGTCATATTTCGGCACATCTCTTCTGTTTTCTCTGGGTGCATCCTGAGCTTGTAAAGCTGCAGGCACTTCTTGTGGAGGTTGCTCTGGCTGTGAAGCTTTATTGTGTGTATCTTGAACTGCTTAGAGCCAATGATGAAGGCTGAAGTCCGAGAAGATTGCACTGTGTACTGCCTACAGACATGGCACCACATCTCATTCAGTGTCGGGGAGTAACGCAGAAACCAAAACTTTTTAAGCCACTCTTGCTTGAACCGCCGTATCCTCCGGCCCGTGGCAGAAGACATCTTAGAAGGCTCATCTGTAGCAGCAATCATGTCGTTGGAAACTGATTCATCAGCAGAATCCACCTCTTGGTCATCATCCTCCATGATGGTGGGAACTGAGATGATGCTTTCTGAAGCTGTAACAAAAAAATAAAAAAAAAAGGAAAAAAATATGGTATTTACAAAGTTGCTGAGCTAGAGAACCATCCTACTGGTGACAGTAAGAGCATTGCCCAAAGAGCTGGTCACAACCTCTCTTCTTCTGCCCACAATACATTATGGATAGAATTTGAATCATGACTTTGAAGGGAAAAGGAATCTATATTTCTGCATAAGAACTTTGTCTCCAACATGCCACAATGAACAGCAACAAAGGACACTACATCCTGGCCACTTGAACAATACACTGTGTGACCCAAATATTCTTTTTACTGAATGCTCCTGGCTGCTTGACAGCATGTTCCTGGAGGAAATGAAATGTATCTTCAGAAAGAGACACGTGGTTGTGTTAAGGCAGTGGAGGAAACAGAGAGAGATTTTCAACAAGGGACACAGCAGGACATAATTTCATATACAAAGAGAGAACATTTCAGCATTACCACAGAGTCATTCATACTTTCTTGGTAGCATGTGAGGCATTGTGGAAGGTCTTCCGCTGAAAGAGAATGCATCAAAAATACAGCAAACAAACTGTCTGCAATGGAATGTCTTTTTTATTGGCAGTGCATTATCAATTACAATGGCAACAAAGAGAGTAAATTGTTATACAGAGTCTTTCCCAAGCAGTGTTTTCCACTGTACCCACAGCATCAGCTCTGGGCCCACCCAGTCACAAAACCTGACAAAGAACCTTCCATGGAACCACAGGTTCACCTGAATACTCAGAACAAAATGCTTTAGATGGGTACACAGCACACAGGCATCTCACTACTCTCCTTAGGCAGGGTTTGGAGAATGCTCTAATTCGGCAAGGCTTACCTGTGGGGTCTGAGAACTCTTGGAGCTCGGGTACCTGGGGCGGTAACACGGGCGCCTCGGGTAACTTCCCAGATCTCAGCATGTCTAACTCAGCCTGTAGCTCCCGGATTTTCTTCTTCAGACGGATGCAGTTGGGGCAGAAGGATGTGCTAGGGATTTCATGGGAGTTGCCTTGTGCAGACGCCAGTGACAGCTCAGTTGGGCTGTCTGCTTTAAGTGACAGGGGCTCTTCTTCCTCGTCTTCAAGGATGCTCATCTCTTTGGCTGAGATGAAAGAGGAACTGTGAGGGATCCTCCATTCGCTCTCACTCTGGTTTCTGCTGAGGCTCAGGGAACTGTGCTGCATGGCATTGCCACACTGCTCAAAGATGTCTTCAGCCTGGTATTTAGATGCTCTTCCAAGGGAAAGTGGTGTACTTGTTGTTAACTGGTTTTCTTCAAACTTGGCAGACTCCAAAGAAGCCTCCAGGACATCTTTGAAGATGAGGTCAATTTTTTTTTTCTTTGTTTGGGGGTGGGATTCCCCCTCGTCACAGCTGCGCTTGTAGGGGCTCTTCCCCTGCTTTAAGGTAGTGAACTGGAGTGCTCCCCTTGCATCCTCTTGATTTTCTACATTCTTTTCTGAATTTTCATTCTGTAACATTTTGTCTCCTAGAATGGAAAACGAGGGGTGGGGATTATCACTGGGAACTGAGCAACATCCCTCAATCTAAAACTCAAAAAAGAACAAAAAGGCAGACTGAATCCCTGAAGGTCTGCATATTATGTTACAAGCCAGGGAACTGACACAACTCAGTGGAAACTGAGGCTTGCAAGAGGAGAAGCCCCGCTAATGGGCATGTCTGTAAAAACAGAGACAGTCCTGGGTAACCACAGCAGAGTAGAACCCACACGCTTCAAAGAGAAGAGAAACTACAGGCAGCTTGTTTAACCTAAAGGTATAACCAACCTGTGTTGGAAGAGGACTATGAGGTGAATGACTGATCATGGTGGAAACTACACCCAGAGCCTAAATGCTATTTTGGCTAGCTGGAAGTTCTGTGCCTGTTTTGACTTGGTAAAAGGTATCAAGCGTACAGCAGTGCAGCAAGAGATTTACACCATTTCATGACAACCCCAGTGTCTGTGCACGCCATGGCACAAAGTTTGCAAGCCCCTTTATTCTCGTTCAATTTGGAGGCTGCTCCAGAAATGCAAAAGTAAAGGAGTAAAAACAACTTGCACACTTAAAACCTAAGGTACACATTGTCAACTGAGCTACAACAGGTGAATGCCCTCCAAGGATGGGACATCTAGCTTGTCCGGGTGGAGTCTGAGAGCATGACCATTCAGTAATTGAAAAAAAAATATTAAAAGCAACCTCATATAAATTATTAATTGCTTAAAATAAAGGGAATAGCCAGATTTCCTTACCTGGAAATTCAAAAGACGATAGGTTTGGCTCAATTTCCATCACTCTTCTATCTTGTAAATAACTTCAAGCATTGATGGCTTCCCAAACAAGACGCTGCTTTATGCTGATTTTTGGTTTTGTTTGCTTAAAGTGTATTCATGCTTTCATAAGAGTTATGGAGCAAAAGCTACCATTCCCTCTCTAAGGAGAGCAATGCTAAGAATGCAGAAAAGATGCAAGACTTGAAACAGAGTAAGGCACTGTAAAAAGGGCTGGCCTGAATGGATGGGATTTTGCACTGGGTTTGGATGCTGACTGGGAAACTCAGCCACTTCTTTAGTGAATCCATAATAACAGATTTCAGCTTTCACTCTCTCTCTTAGTATTTCCCCTGTTATGGACCATAGCAACTACTGTGAGACGTAGTGATTTAGAGGCAGTGATTTAGGTTCTTCTTTCTCGGTGATTTTTTCCCCCAACAAGCCGAGTGCTTCAGCCCTATGGAAAAGCTAGAAATCACAAGACGATCCCTCATATTATTGGTCTCAACTCCAATGATGAGGCAGGTCAGAAACCATCAGCAGAAACAAAACCCAGGAACAATGTTATTTTTCTGTGAGTTCGTAAAGCGTGCCACTTCATTTGACAGACTTATCTGCAGGGATTTGGTAACTTTTAAATAGAAAGTGCCTCAGCAGATTTTTGTGCTGCTTCCTGACCACTTCCCAGTGCCCTCCCAGTGGAAGCTTCCATGTCTCTCTCAAGTCTAGCAATGGCCCAGGTGATGCTCCATTTTAACAACATCTCCATGCCCCTTTTGTGAAGGCAGGCTAAACCCAGATTGCAGCAGGATGAGCTCACCAAGATGTCAGGGGGTTTCTGGAATGGTCTCTGTCGCCACAAGAGTTTCTACCTGAGGGTGCATTAGGTTGTGGCAGGTTCTGGAGAGTCCTGAGTCAGATCTTCACCACACTTGTAGCACAGAGCAGGCTGTGAGTTATGGTTTCAGCTTCCACAAACCATGACACCATGATAATCCAGGACTAAAGGCATGTCTGCATGGCAGGGCAATAGCTCATAGCCTTGGTGCCCCTGTAGAGCAGCTGCTCCAAGGACACAGACTGTCTCTTGCTGTACTTTCAGAAAGCACTAAGCCATCTGGATGACTAATGTGTGCATGTTACAGCAGCAAAATCACTGCAGCCTGTACCTAATCTCTCACTGGTGTTCATTAACATAAAAAAGAAAATTCATACCAATGTTAATTCAAAAGTGGGAATTGTCCAAGTACAGCCAGCATGATGTAACACTGCAAGTGCATAACCACCCTAAGGTGACAGAGATAACCAGCTTTTTCAGGACATCTTGTCCACCCCATGACTGAAGAGGAGACACCTTTTACCAAGTCAAGGCAGCAACAGCAGCTGTGTAATAATATACTCAGAAATCATAATTACAAATTATATTTAGTGTGGCTGCCCCTCTGAGGCCCTGCCATTCTGCAGCTAGACTGGAAAGAAATGCTCCTAATTAACTTCAGGTATCAGCATTGTACAGATGAACAGATGCATTAAGAATTTTTGCTTTCCGCTAAAGCTTCCTATATTGATGACAATACGTGGGCCCAAAGGACTGCTGGGTTTGTTTCAACATTGCTACTCTTTAGACAAGATAACAATTTTTATCCAAGGAAGAATCAGTGTGACAAGTACAAAGCCTCCTGTACGTTGTATACACATTCTAAGGTTGTGAGACTAAGGAGCTGATGACGCGCTGATCCCAAATTATCTTTCTGAAGAAAGAGGAGATAAATTAAACGAGGAAAATGGACATACAAACACACCAAGGAAATCTCATTCATATGGACACAAAACCAGCCAAAGCTCCCTCAAACAGGCTGCTCACAGAAGCCAGCATGTTCAGAGGAAAAACCTAACGCTGTCTTGTAGGACCGTCAGCTTGGCAATCTTTGGGCCAGAAAGTCTTGTGACAGGGGTGCTCTGTGATCCCTGTGCATTGCAACAGGCCCTTGCAGCACACACACACACAGCATGGCACCACACAACACATGACGTGACACATCACAGCACAAATCTTTCTTTCATGATCTCCATGACTGTGGGTATCTTACTCTTCTTGTACACCCATCCATCTATGTCAGGCAGAGCTGGGGGTGTTCACCCAGAGGTGCTCTGCTTCTAGAAATGCCGCTCTCCTCACACAGCCTGTGCAAAACCTACTTCATCCACAACATTTGGCCCAACTGTGGGGCAGCCTGAGGGGATCAGGAGAGAGGATGGAAAGGGAAGGGACTCACCACTTGTGAAACTTCTATTCATGGTTTCCTGGGACATACTGTGCAACCGCTTCATGTAATCCTCACTGTACCAGACCCGCAGCTTCTCCCCAGGGTGGATATCTCGGCAGGCACGGAAGTAAATCCTCTCGCTGTGCTGAAAGGCCATCAAGTTCTGCTCCCTCTCCTCCCGGGAGATGATGACGTATCTGAGGGCAAGGGGACAAGGCAGGTGTGAAGCACAAACTTCTCTCCTGTGCCCTCCCTTGCATCAGAATGACAACCATGAAGAAGCCAGAATGACCTTCGGAGAGAGACATCAACACAGCCAGGCTGGAAAGCATGGAGTTATAAGCAATGGTGTGCAAACAAGCATGGCCACCCAGGGAACACTAAGCCAGTGTGGATGTTTCTTGCTGAGGAGGGGGGATGACACTAATGCACATCCAGTCTGAAGGGATGTCTGCCAGCAAGGGTGACAGACTCTCCCAGTCAGAAATATCTTTGCCTAGTGAGGAAAACAAGAACTTCCGGACTCCCATTGTCACTTCACATCCCAGGGCTCCCTCCCTTGTCCTCAGGAATATCTGGAATACGGCAGGGTTCCTCTGCCTGTCTGTTTCCCGAAAACACTGCCTTCCTTTTTCAGTTGGTAACAGATTTGCTTGCCTCTGTCCTCTCAGGCAAGCAGAATTGAGATTCTAAGGACAGAAACATGGATACCTAATGGGCATGGGATTATGTGCTAGTTGTCAAGGTCATGCCAGTATTGGAAGATTTTGCACTTCGGAGTTCAGCAGGGTGTGACAAAAAAACCCAATTCAGCTCTGCAAGTGGAAACCCCAACACCACATTGTAGGGATCTCCTGGCAGTGCTGACAAAAAGATCACTTTCAGGGCACGGGGTTTATTTTCCTGATTTAAACCAGCTTCATTTCAGCTCAGCAGAAATGTATTTATTCCTACTCCAAGCAACTGGCCCGTTGTGCAACTTGCTAAGACAGAGATGTATCACTAGAGTCATATTATTTGCTCCCACCCTCCTCATATTCCTGCTATAGGACATGAAAAAGGCTTGGTAATACTGGCTCCAGTTGCCATCAGCATGAGCTCACAAGACCTACCCAGGAAGGAGGCCCCATCACAGCATGTGTAGACCCCAAATCAGACGTGAACAGCTGATAGCTAAAATTTATTTTTCTCTTATGCTATTTGCCTCTGTTGTTCAGCATGCCCTGCTGCAGCAACCTCAGCAAAGGCAAGGGGGCTGCAGGGGAGCATATGGCTCCTCTGACATCTGCTGCTATTAGTTCTTGCCTAAGTTCCCTAATGTATATACAGGTATTCCTTTGTCTTAAGAAATCTGTCAAATTTTTTGAATATTCTACCTTCTCTAGTCATGTCTTTAGCACAGATAAAGACACAAGTCCACCTTCACGTGATCCCACTAACCCACACAAGAAAGGTCACAATCTTGGTGAAACCTCCCACAAAACACAGAAAACAAGTCTGCAGTGGCAGTGTCTCAGATTGCCTGAGGCTCTGGTTTTAATGTTAAGCAACTGTGCATGTGCCGGCAAGCAGTTGTAATTTTCCTAAAGTGTGCTACCCAGGATTCTCTGCCATCTTCAGTAATTATTTAAACAGCAGACTGGTACTGCCAACATTGGCTTTTATTAACCCATATTTACTTCTGATCACAAAACAAAGGGAACTTTTGAAGTACCAGTTTGTGTATTTGAGAAGAAGAGAGACCTGGACCAGTGGGGTGGGAAGGAGGTCCTGCAATAGCACACAGCTGCCAGGCTGTTGCTTTTGTGTGTAAGTGATCACTCCTCAAAAGGTGTATCAGGCCTTCAGCCAGCCATGAGATACACAACCCTTGAGACAGACTAATGTGCTGATGCCTTGCAGCACAGGAGAATCTCTCCTTGAAGCACAGGAGATCCTAGAGGATGCTCTCTCCAGTCCAAGCAAAATGTCAGGATGCTTCCTAGCACCAGCTAAGGAGAGACCCTGCTCTGCATCCTACCATCCACAACAGATCAGGCTGCCCGTGTGAAGATTTACTAACCTAAAGTCACTCAGAGATCCTTAATATAACATACATGACCTGCACATCCACAGCCAGTGGCACTGAGGAATTCATGCAGCGGTGGCAGGATGGTCTAGTGCGTTTTCAGCAAACTGTATTTGACAGTGAGATGTAGAAAATACAACTTTGAATGGGAAGTTAACTATTTGCACCAGGGCTCACTTTTATTATTAAGTATTTTGTTAAGCATGAGTATGACCTTTTTCTGTTCACTGCTCTCCTTCTGCCTCTACAGCCCTCCATGTTTCAGCCTGAGTATCCTTCAGCTCTGCTGCCTGCATCCTGTGGCTCTGGCCACCTGCTGGAGCAGCAGGGAGCTGGGAGGAGAGTGCAGGCTGGAGGGCATGAGCTGCAGCACTGTTGCAACACTGCAGCAAATGCTGCCTGGCTGCTCATCCAGCCTCCTGCAGCCACTGGCACAGCCACTCTCTTCAGGAGCCCCCAACAGAGAGTTCTGGGATAACCCAGTCACAAACATGTTTCTTCACAGCTGCACCCAGCTAGCAAGTGGTTTACACTCCTAGTAAGGAAGCTTTCCATCTGTGAGACTTCCCTGAGATAAGGTAAATGGGATGAGATCATGCACACAAAAGAAATTGTTTTGAACCAGTGCTGCCCAGCCCCAGACTCCAGTTTCCCCAGAGGCACAAAAGACACAGGTTACAAAGGACTGCCTAAACCCCACATTCCAACTGTTGGTCTGAGACACCTAGTGCCACTGCACACCATAGCTGAGAGGCAAATGCTTTCCACGGATGGAGAAAATCATTCCACAAAAGTGTAGCCAGCTTGGTGAACCAGGGGCACAAACTACCTGCTGAGGAGAGACTGCATGATCAGCCTTCACTGACATATATCCCCAGGGCCAAAGTGCTCACATCCTGAACAACCCCACCCTTCCTGCAAAGGTTGCATAGTGTCCAGTCCCCTTCCCAATGCCAAATACTCCACTTGGATTGAATAAAGGAGGCTACCTTGGTTTGGATGCCCAGGACAGGCATGGTTAGGCTGACCCAAGCACTGCACAGATGGGCAAGGCTCTGCTTGCAGAGCACGTTTCCCAAGAGAGGATCCTGTAATCCTCAGAGGAGAGTAAGAATCCTTCAGCAGACCCAGACACCCTCAGCTGCACCTGGTCCTGCAGAGAGGCATTGCCACCAGTCACAAATCCACCATTTCATGTCCTGTCTAGTCCTTGGGACAGGCCAGCCTCCAGAACACCATAGTTCCTGACCAGTTCCTGGTCCTACTTAGGACCAGACATGGCACCAATGGAGACCACTTCTGACTCATCCACAGCTACTGGGGCTAGGATCAACCCCACAGCTGTCACAGGCACAGCACCTTGCTCTGCAGGACCACCTTTCCCACAGACTCTCAAGCTAGCAGCAAATAAAAATTATTATTTCATTTTTACTAAGGCCCAGCCCACTCAGAACACCAAATTCCCAAGTTTTGATATGGGAATGAGCATGCCCAGAAAAATGTCAAGTTCTTTTTCTACAGCTGGGATCATTCCTCCCCAGGAGGGGTACAGAGCCTCCAGTGAGGATCCAGAAGAGATGGTGATGAGGGAGGAGACCTCTGCAGCTGGAATGATGTTCAAGGTTCTCCCCTTTTCCCCTCCACTACTGCCCTGGACTTGCCTCATGGCTCCTTGCTGCCCACTCCATAGCCACTGGCCTTTCCCAAACCAACTTTGGGCACAGAGCCAGGGCAGGAGAGCCCATGCAAGAGAGCAGCCACCAGCCCAGGCTGATGACATGGGATGCCATAACCATAAACCCTGTCTCCGTGCTCTGATGCCAAGTGTCTCCAGGAGACCCACATCTGTGACAGGCTAGTTACCAGCTCAGGCAAAAATTGTAGAGAGAAACAAATGACTCAACAGCAGCTGTGTTAAAAGTGTTATATATTTATTGCATTCTTAACAAAAGTACTTTTAAAGAGAGAATTTTTTCAGCATGTACAAGATATGGAGATACTGGAGTTGAGCACAGCAGTTTGTTTTGACACAGACACTTACTTCAACAGCCAGTTAACATGATAGGTGCAGGAAGAAGTATCCTTTGCGAGCCAGTACAGAAAAGCCACTCCACCGAGGGGTCTACACAGGGCAGGAGGTATGTCCCCAGATCTGGGCCAATCTGTAATAGTCCACAGAGGAAACTGGGCGAGATATCAGGACCTTTGTCCTGACCTGGGGATTTGCATTAAGGGCTGTGCATCCTGCACCAGGATGCTCTCTGTAAATACATCTGTGTGGTTAAACTGATTGCAGCAATGATGGTAACTCCCTCCAGTGCCCAGCACCTGCAGGAGTCTCCTCCCTTTGCAGAACCGAGGGTTCCCAGAAGGGATCCCCTGAACAACATCAAAGGAGCTAATCTTAGCACTATACCCATGGGAAGGCATCAGTAGAGACCAAATATGATTAAAAATATAAAATACTAATATATAGCAGCAGCACTATATTGACTCAGTAAGCCTTTAAAACATATCACCTTTTTTTCAGCTCTCTCTGATTCATAAATTAGATCCACTTTTGTCACATTTCCCAGTCTCCTCTTCATCTGAAGAGAGGCTGTGACTTTTGCAGAATATGAATGTTTCAACAGAAGTAAAAATACATCCTCAGTGGAAGGTGAGTAAGTTCTGCCCTGGTCTGGCATCAGCACTAATGGGAATGTCCTCTTCATGAAACCAGTTGGATCATTCCTCAGGAATGAGGCTTTTTTCCTTGCCAGACCACTACTTTCTTGAGCAATCTTTTATTGCACCACTAAAAATAAATTACAATTAACTTTTCAGGAAAGAAGTTAGTGCACTATACTTTAAAAGGAGAGGCCAGACACGTTAAAGATAACCCTTGAAGTCTGCACAAAACAAGCTATCCTTCTGCTACACCGTGCTGCCTATGTTCAATTCCACAGAAGTTTCTGTAACTTTTTTGCCAAGTCTGTAGCCCAGCCATGGCATGATGACGCACACTCAATTTTAATTGGAATACTGTCCTGCAACCAACCTCCAAATACAATAGAATAGCCTGGAGAGCACAGTGTGCTGTGTGGTTAACACCTTGACCCTTTTCCCTGCGGAAGCTTATCAGGATAATGGTCTGGGTTTTTTCAGATAGGGGCAGCATGCTAGATCCAGAGGTGAAAATTAAGGAGAAAACAGACATATTATAGAAGAGCTACCACATACATTATCACCACCTGAAGTGACACAATTAAAGCCTAGTTCCAGATTCAGTGTTGTACATGAGAACCTCACACAGCTTTAGAGCAATTAAATTGTTGTAACACTGTTCTTTCTTGCATCTATATTGGTAAAAAAAGCAGTATAAAACCAACATGTTTAAGATTTCAACCCATGTAGCTGTGAATTTAGATTGTAAACCCTTCATGACAGGAAGACACAGAACAGATCCCACCCTAAATAAAACTAAGTGCAAAGTAACTGTACTGAAGCTGACAGAATTCAAGTAAAACAAAACCAAACTGACTTGATGTTAGAAGCAGGCCTCTACATCTTTTCTGGTTTCTGTTCAGTCTCCCACATTTTGAAGGGATGAGGTAGTTCAAAACTAAAGAGTTGACAACATTCAAGAAAATAATATGATACAATTATCTTTAAATGTTGTCATATGATCAAATAATTGTATTTTAACTGCAATTGTGAAAGGTAGGGGTTTCAGATGGGAGCAAACAAAAGTTGAACTCTTTAATCCAAGTGCATGTGGCACTGAAGGATCCTTGCAAAGGCCTTTTCAGCAGTTTAAACCCCATGGCGCTCAAACCTGTCCTCAGAATTGTGCCTTCTGCCCCGCCCCTGCACAAGCTCTGCTTTTACACTCCTCTTCCCAAAGCTGTGTGTAAGTCACAGGAAGCCCTAGACAGCCCACTATTGCTGAATTAAAGATAAAAGCAATGATCAATAAGAGTTTTTATTGTCATAAGGCTGAATTTCTGCACATACTGCATATATTAATATTCAGGAAGATGATGGGAATGCAGTAGTAGGATAAATTTGTGAGTTGATTACAAAGGGATCCCTGTAGCATGCTGTTTCAGTAAATAATATTTCACAGGCATAGGAAGAGATCCAGATAATGACTTCTATTGCATTTCTTAGTTTATACGGCATTTAAAGCATGGGGAAGCCAGTGAAAACTCTTAAACTCTATGAACCCAAAGATGTCCTACATTCCAAACTCTATAGTATTTGAGATTCCTCTTTGTCATTGCAGAGGGCCAGTCCTACAATTAGCTGCCATATTCATACTGCTCTGTTAGCCAGCAGGGGGAATGATGGGTTTGGTCAGCTGTTGACCTTCCCCACAGAATACTGATACACATGGAGAAGCCATGAGAACATGCAGCAGCTCAGGAAGGGGCATCCTTCTTTACTTTATATTAAACAGACTAAAAATGATGTTTTCTTTTTCGTGACCTGGTGGCCTGTGCAGGAGTTGTCCATTTTAGAGAGCTTTGGTTAGACTCTGCACTGGGCTCGGGGGGTTGTTTAGGGCAAGCTGCTTGTAGACAGGACCCTGGATCTTGTACCCTGTGGAAAGCCTGGACCCTATCACGTATTTCTGTCAGTGTCTGACACATCTGGCCAACCTGGCTGGTGAGGTCAGCCATGCTCTGGCTGATGGCATGCATGCTATCCGCCATGTCCCTGTGAATGGCCAGCAGCTCCTGGCAGAACTGCCTGAACAGGTCTGTTTGCTGTGCATGGGAATGGAGAAGCTGGCGGTCGAAGCTGGAGAGGGGCGGGCTCCTTGTGCGGGGGTGCGGGGGTCTGCAGGCCGAGGTGGTGCGTGGGGATGGACAGTGCAGCTCCTGCCTTTGGCTGGCAGCTTCCGAGGGCTCTGATGAGGAAGAAGTGCGAAGCAAGGAGGGCCTGGAGAACGGACTGACACCTGCAACAGCCCTTGGCAGCGAAGCGAAGTGGTGCTCCTGAGAAGTGCCTGGCATCTCTTCATCTTCATCAGCTTAAACAGAAGAGGAAGCATGAATTATTAATGTGAAATCCCTCTCAACACTGGCTTCTGTTTCAGGATATCTCAAAGAACGTGGAAAAAAGGAGTTTTCCCCTCCCCCCAGTCTGCCAGTTCAGACAAGCCTGTAGCTTCTGATGCATAAGTGAACATGCAAGTGCTGCAATGTTAGCATCTGTGTGACAAGCTTAGCCATGAGAAACCTGAGAGTGGGTGAACCAAGGTATTGTGGTATTCTATACAGAGAACTGTTCATTACTAGAATATGTATCTATTTCAGACAGTAGCAATGACTTCTCTTCCCCAAGCCCATAGGTAGCTAGCACAAATATTCTGGAGGGACACAGACTTCTCATGGAGAAATCCTGTCCCTCCGTCATTTCTTGTCCACCCTCTGCACTGAGAAGAGCATAGATGCTGTATTTGCTGCTCTCAAGGTGTTCTGCAAAGCCACTACGTGGCTTGGCATTACTAAGACAACGAGGCAATCAGACAAAGCAGCAAAAGGACCCTATGTTAATCAGGCAAATACACTTGATGCAAAATCAAAACTAAAGGAAAATGCCATGGGAAAATTCTCATTAGTTGCTAAATATCTAGTGATGTGCCATTTCACAGGTACAGGCATGTGAAGAGTAAGAAGAGACAAGGTTTCACCTGGTGTAGCTGCCCACTATTTACTTACATAACCTGAATTCTTTTTACCTCTGAAATAGTGCAACTGGCTTCCAAGATAGATGCAAAGAATAACCAAGTCCCACTTTGTCAGTTCTAGAAGATTTTGTCCTTGCTTTCCCACTAACTTCAGATATGAGATCAGACCTAGTGTGGTAGGAGAGGACCACCCATGAGGTGTTAGTTGACTCACTTCCCAAGAAGCTATCGCCTCCTTCTCTCCTTTGTATCTCTAAAAGCTCACAAACAAGAAGCTGCACCTCCACGAAAGAAAACTGTGTACAAAACTGTGGAAAGAACCTGCACAAAAGCAGCTTATGGTTGAGCACTGGCAGGTGTCTGAGAATTGTGGTGTAAGAAGATTAACTTCAAAAGCAGGGCCAGCAGTTTCTTTAAAACCAGTGAAGAAGGAGTCATTATTGTCTACCTTTTTCACAGCATTCATGCCGACCTTCTGACCACTACTGAGAAATCATTAGTGGCACAACCTCAACAGTGAACACCAGTGATAACTGAGACCCTCAAAGCTCTCTTGGAAGTGATCCATCAGCAACAGGCAGATGCCTTTCAGTTTGGTAGCATTGCTGTTTTATCAGAGTGAAGATATCCTAATCCTTCCAAAAAACACTTCTTCCACAGACCAGAGGCAGCTCATACTTCAGCTACAGATGCTCCCTCACTTGTAGGATTAGTTCATACTTATAATCCATCATCTACTTTCAGACGACAGTATGGAAAAAAACTAGATAAAGACAAACTTGGAAACAATCCATCTCAACACTCCACAACCACCAGAGCAGAAACCAACACCAGCAGAAGGACAGGCAACCCAGCCATCTCACACAACACACAATGCTCTTCTGGTGTCAAACTGAGATATGCAAGCACAAGACAAAGAGGGATTAAGGCAGTGATACTTACAGCTCATGTACAGGCTGCCAACCACATCCAGATCCGCTCTCCGGCAGCCGTGCCTCTGGTGTGATGAATGCAGCGCCGACTCGATGGCTCTCTCATGGGCGGTCAGGACGATGGCTGAGGGCTGCCCCCCGCCGACGGGGCTGGAGAGGGACCTCTGCATGAGTGCCAGTTTGTCCTTGGTCCTTCTCTTCATGTCGTCCCATCTGTGTTTAATGTCTTTTACAGACCTGGGGACTTGGCTGACTGATGTGATCTGCCTGGCTATGCCTTCCCAGATCTTGTCCCTGTCAGCATGGGATAGACGCATTGTGTCCCTCCCAAACAGCATGGCTTCATTTCGGGTCACCTCAGTGACCAGAATGTCCAGTTCTTCCTTGGAAAACTTGGGCTTCCTCTTTCGTTCAGCCATGTTCCTTGGGTTGAACATCCCGCAAAGCATAATTGGGTAAAAGGAAATCAGCGCAAAGCAACCCTTGCATCCAACCACTTGGCCAGTGCAGTACTGGGGCAGAGGAGTTTGGTGGGATCCAGCTCCCCTGACCCACAACAACCTCTCACCAGGAAAAGGCAGCTGTTTTGTTTTTAGAAGGCAATTTTCAAGCTTAAGAAAAAAAAAATACCAAGCAACACAAGTGTGAAGGAGCCTTCTCAGCTTTAAAGTTAAAATCAAATTTTACACATCATCTGATGCCCTGACTTACATATGAGATTTTCAGTTTAGCCTCACATCACTCGCCACAGTTTGTGCACAGAAAAAAAAGTGAGAACTCACAATCAGAGCAGTGAATTAGCTTCTAATCTGACACTTCTCAAAACTTAGAGGAAATGTAGAGGCTTGAAACATATCTTATTGTTCTACCTGGCAAAACATGCAATAGAAAACTTTTACACCAGCCTCTCTGTTACAACTTGCAGGATGTCATGAAGAGGCTACATCAAACTGGATTTTTTTTAGGGTAGGTAGGTTTTGACTAGACTGGTGGGCAACTTCTGCAACTTGCTTTCCCTAAGGAAAGATCTCTTTTTTCAGCATTGGGGTAGTCTACATCCAGCATTTGTCTGCTTCATAGCAAGCTCTTGTTTCACTCAGAAATGGCTACCATTTCCCATTGTTCTCAAAAGGAATGAGGCCACCCACTTGATCTTCCTGGCTTGGCTTTCTGTCACTGCCACCAACATGAGCCTGCACCCAGTTTCTGGTGCTTCAAATGAACAACATTTAGCCTCAGCCTACTGAGAAAAAGAGGCAGCCATCCTGAGAACAAGCAATTTTATCCAAAGGGGGTGTGTGTTAATTTCTCCAGCCACAGTCAAAGAAAACTATAAAAATAAACAAAACATTAGTCCTAACCATGTTTTGTTATTGGAAAAAAAAAAAAGAAAAAAAAAAAGAAAAAAAGAAGGCAGTAGATCTATTCAATAAGGAAGGAAAACAGACTGTCTGAACCTACAGAAAGGTGCTGACCCATGTCATTCTAGTTCTTCCTAGTGCTATTAACACTGTTGTTTAATCAATCTCACTGACACTGCTGCCTTCCATCAGGGCAACTGTCAGTTTGGTTAAAGCTAGAAAACCAGTAGGACAAGCTGCTCAAATCCAGGGCACATCGGGGAGAGCTGGGACCTAAGTGCACAGATGCATTTCATGGGAATAAATATAAATGAATGGCTGAGATACTGTCTTGGTGGAGCTTTGTTTATAGAGAGAAAGAAGGAGTATTTAGAGAAGATGGTAATGAAATGATGGAGAGCTAGCAAAGCACCTGTTACCTTGAATCTCAAAAATCCCCAACAAAACAACTCACCAAACTTAAAAGGAAAAAAGAGTTCTCCCAGCTGAACATGAGAAGAAGGGAAAAGGCTACACAAGACATTGAGCAAGGGAATATTTAGTTTGACTTTTATTGCATTCAGCAAAACTGGCCTTGGTGTATCTCCTCATCAGGTACACATGACTGCACAGTATCATCAATGCCTCCATGAGGTGGCAACAAACCTCCACTGATAAGCTACTCTGCTCAAGAGTAACAGTATTCTGCAAAGTGCTCTGGGGTAGGAATGGCTTGCAGAACAGAACAGCACTCTCTGGAGACATGGGGTCACAAAACCTGGTGCCCCCTCTTCTCTGCCAAACACACAGCTGCGGTCACCAGCAAAGCTGCACTGATAGGGAATTAGAACCCTGTTTGCTATTTCCAGACAGGATATCCCATCAAGTGCATTTAGGACAGATTATGGTAGGCCTGGATATTCAGATTTTAGTGTTTCTACTCATATGCTCCAGCATGACTTGGGTCAAAACAATCTAATTTACATATTTCAATAGCAAACTTGCCACACATCAAGTAATGAGCTCTGGCCAGTTTTAATCACAAATTCAATTAACCTTAGGTTCCTAAGAGGCACATCAACCTCCATCTCCTCCTAATAAAAATGCAGACAGTGTTACTATCAGAGGGGATCCTTTTCTCCTCTAGCATGCCATAGGTCCCTACAGGCAGTCACTGATATCTACAAGTACCTCTCTGGTGATGCCATGAGGGTTTCAGCAAGCTCCAGAGCAGCCCCAGCTGTGAGGTTGTGAATTCACACCTCAGCCCAGGTTACTCTGGAAGTGCAAGACACACTGAATAGTAGGCATTTAATGATTACCCTACAAAAATATCTATCAACTCCACTTTTCTTGGTCTCTAAGAAATAAGCATGTAATTTTCCCCAGGGCTTTGTGGTGACCACAGCCCCACAGTAATTTAGGATCCCTTCGCTCTGCTTAAATTTGACTCTGTAATAGATAAGAACATTTGTGCCACTTGCTGCAAAGTAGCAGAAATCAGTTTGTGATGTTCAACAAAATGACATTCATAGGCTGGTGGCTTTTACTCACCCTGAACACAAGGGCAGTCACAGTAACCCTGACTGTTTTTTAAATGCTTATTTTTAAAAGGTCCTGTAAAGTTGAAACAGCAGCTCCATACTTAAAAGATCTACTAGTCAAAGTTGGTCCTGCTTTAAGAAGGCTATTGGAACACCTGAACAGAGCTCCCTTCCAAGCTCCATTATTCAATGAAAAATCAAATCACAGGTGCCTTCATTATAAGGAGATACAGGAAGATTTACAGGACAGTGTGTCTCCCCATGTTCTCTGTCAGTGTGTATGGAGAGGAAAGGGGGCAGAAAGGAAGGCAAAGGAGAAAGCAGTGAGGAAGTCTTGCTTCAGCCTTTTCACACTGGCTAAGGCAAAGGATGAATTTATAAAGCCTAAGAATTCAAGACCTCACATGTGAAGGGGTTACAGACTATAAATGCTCAAAATATCCTGGAAACCCTAAACATGAGGCACTACACTTCAACAATTCAGTTAGGCATTGCAAGTTTCTATCCTACATCTGGCTCCGGGCAAAGTGATACACAAAAGGATGGACTTTCCTGGACTTTCTGAATTACATTTGTTTTTTTGTCAGAGCCATTCTTTTTAGAGGACACCAACAACTGAGAATGAGAATTTCTTCAGAAGCTACCAGGAAAATGGATGGTCCTTGGCAACCCTTCAGAAGTCCCAAGAACTGCCATCAGCAGCAATTTACAGTTTGCGTCCAAAAGGCATTAATTTTGCTTGCTGCAATCCATTGTAAACAGCCACCAGAAAAATAAAAACAGAGGAAGATGTTTGCATATGTTGAAGTCACAGAGTTTCATGAAGTATTGCAAACAGCAGGGCTTTACTCTGGACAGAGATGAAGGATGTGTTGCCGTGTGCCAGCAGCCAGCTTAGGAGAACATGCTCCCAGCATCAGGAGTTTGTCTTGACTAACTAACTGATGAGGGAAAGGGCAAGAGGATGTTACCAGTGCCATGCCATCTGCTGCACTTGTTACTCCTTCCTTCCTGTCATCCACTGCCTTGGGTAAACAGGCACTTGAAATTAAACCACTAAGTGCTGCAGTGTACATATTGTTGTCCTCAGGCAACATGAAAATGGACTCAGGTGTGGTATTCAAACAACAGAAACAATAGCCAGATCTACAAGAAGAGAGAGGAGTCAGCCCAAGCTGCCCTCCCCATGCCATACCCACCTACCCAGAAGGTGAGTAGATCTGCTTTGCAAAGCACTCCATCTGTGAGTGATAGCAAAGAACACCATCTGAAAAACAAAAAGAGCGCTGTCTACAGCGTCCTGGAAGTCAAGCATGGTTTCTGTGCGTGATCTCAGTGTCAGATGATGTTCTAGCACAGAATATTGAGCACACCTTAATATAAAAGGTGCTAACAAACAAAATCAAGGCTTTTTGAGGACTCCTATTGCCACCTGAACTGTCAGTCAGACTACATAATACTACTGGTTATAAGCACTTTTCAAGAGTAAAATCAGAAAAATCAGTAAGACTGGTATAGCCTGCAGAGACCCTTTGATACAACCTTCCCATGAGGGGATCACAAACATCCCCTTTCCACAAAGCCATAACACCTCCATCCCTTTCAAGGCTGTATACAATGGCCCAGGCCACACTCAGACTGAGACTGAACCATGGCAAATACAAGTTTAGGCAAGAATATTCTGCTCTTTGGTGTTAGCACCATGAGTAATGCCTATTTAAATCCAGACATCAAACTTATGTTCACAGCAGTAGGAAGAAGAGCTCATCATAAAAGTTTTGCTTTCCAAGACTGTGTTTTACCCCCGCTTCACCGTCATGCAGATCACAAAGATCAAGCTCTAGCAGATTTTTGAACTTTGCATTCTTTACTTCTACATATATGTCTGCCTACCTTCTCCACTGTATCACTGCTTCTTTTTGAAGTGATGACTCCAGCCTCACTTGAATACCTCACTGACTCAATTCATTGAATACAGCCCTGGTCTAGTATTTTATCTCATCCAGCAGTGACAACTGTAACAGCTGGAATCCTTACATAAAAACAAAATCCTTTGCTGAACTTTATGAACATAAATGTAGGAACAGCTGCTATCCATGTGAAGACTGAAATGGCCACAAGTGGTGCAACCAGATACGACCGGTTAGGTCAATCTTTCATTTACCTGTACTTCATGCTTTTTATTCCCATAACGAGGGATAACTGAAAATCCTAGATATCCATGCCAACAAACCAGCTAATCCCACTGCTGCCTTACTCTTGTAGGAGATGCCTTCTTGATAATAACCACTTCCAAAGCTCCCCACAGAAGCAGCACTGGTCTGACGGGCCTCACCGTGCAGCAATGTCCCGTTCTGGTGACTCGCCACTCATGCGAGGCCTTGGTGATGGACGTTTCGCACATCTATGCCAACACCTGAAACTCTGCTGCGTGGTCACATGTGGTCCCTCCTGCTGCAGCTGCCCCAGCAGGGCCAGCCGCGCCGAAGCTGCTCTGCCGAGGAGCGGGACCAGCAGAGGGAGAGCAAGCACCCGCAGCAGCTCTGCCTTCAGTTCCCCAGCTCGCCCTTCTCTCCCTGCTCGCCCTTCTCCTCGCCCAGCTTGCCCTTCTCCTCGCCCTGCTCGCCCTTCTCCTCTCCCTGCTCGCCCTTCTCCTCTCCCTGCTCGCCCTTTCCCTCGACCAGGACAGCTGACACTGCCAACCGACAGCTAGCACGGACAGCTGCTTCAAATGCAGCCCAGAAAGAAAGCAAAAAAAAAAAAGCACCTCTTTTAGTGTCTCCCAAATATCAGTAGGGACAAAAAAATAAAACCCAAGCAATCAAATTTATCTCGGGGGTAATGCAAAGCATTTTGCAAATATTTGAACATAACATAAAAGAATGAGTAAAAAAAAATGGAGTGAGACATGTCAGTGCTTGTAAGAGTGGATCAACAGGATCATCTTTAACATTTATTCTCATTCCAGAAAACAGCAATCTTCCCTATACACATCCTTGTCTTATTTTAGACCCTTTCTTTGAATCTGACATCAAAGATACTCATTACAATGAATACTGAAAGAGTACAAGCATACCATTTGCAAAATGGTGGTAACATTTTGGTTTGGTTTTGCAACACACAAAACAGTAAGGAGTATTTGATGGCCTCTCTCTGGAAGACAGTCCCAAAAGGGAAAGCAGAAGAGAACTGGACTCACCTCATCCAGTTTGCTTTGGTTTCATCTGTCCCATCAATGGACTTGTAGCGGTTGTTCTTATCAACGATCTGTGGAACAAGAGAATGGATGCAGCACATCAACCAGCTGATCCAGGCAGGAGAAGGTCTATGAATCTCAAATCACTGCTTCAGTTCTAGCCTTGAGTCATGGTGTGAAACTCTAAGCTGTGAATCTCAGCTCTCCTGGTACTACAGGGTGCTGACCTGGAGTGTGTAGAGGCTACTCAGAACTGACTGAGAGTCATTTTTCTAAGTACAAATATCTGTAACTATGGATGCAGCTGACAAAATCATTGACAATCCTGGGATAAAAAATATTAACTTCCCTTTTGGGACAGGGCTGAGACACATTTATTTTACAGACAGAAAAGTGTGAGGAGCATTTCATATCAGCAGCTCTCCATTTTTTCCCAATAATAACTCAAGTCCCACATTGTAATTTTCATAATTAACATGTGTTGATCCAGTAATCTCTATCTCATATGCTAACCAAGTCGTTTAGTATGAGGGGGAAAACGTTTTAGTGCTGGAATCTGCATGTAGATCAGTTCCTGATGGCCTGGATTTTTTTTCTGGCTTCCTGGCCACCTCCTCTGGTCAGGCAGGCTGGGAAAGAGTGCTAGAGGCACTCTTGAGAGAACCCTGCAATCTCTAGATCATCTGTCTTAAGCTGCTAATATTTACAGCAGGTTGATGCTGATGTATTGCCCATGTGGCCAGCAGAAGACCTTCAGAGAAGGGGGAAGATGACTAAGGTTAGGCTCCACAAGCCCATGACTCCCTCAGCTCTGAACTGCATGGCTGAGGTGTCACTTAGTTGGGGAAACTTGTCACTCACCAGCCACGAGAAGAATCCTGCAGACCTGTCCTGGCTAGAGATCTGCCCCTCATACGGCCCAAAGATGTGACCTTTGGGGATCACCTCGTTCATACAGCGCACGTCGTTCTCCCCACTGGGCTCTTTAACCACCTCCATTCCAGGCGGGATGGTCAGCGCTGCCCGGTCCGGAATGCCGACAGGCACTGGGGTGTCAGACACAAACACTGGGGGGCCATGGTTTGGACACTCATCCACAAAGTACTCCTGGCAGGACTCACAGACTGCAGATGTGAAGGAAACAGGAGTTAGGTAGGGCAGACATGATGCACAGGCTCCTGCAGCACACTGGATGCACAGCACTCAGGAGAGCTCCCTGTCCTCTCCCTGGCCCAGCTGAGCTCCCCCCTAGACTGCAGCCTACACACACAGAGATGCTTCACTGGCTGCTCCCTTGTTCTGCCATGCCTCTCAACACAGGCTCTGCCCCAACCCACACCTCCCCTACCAACACCTGCACCTGCCTGAGCTCTGGTGCCCTGCATGCATTTGCCACCGATGGCTGAACACACATGGAAAGGCTCCATTACTGCCTGCAGAGACAGAGGCTGAGGGCTCCCTGCACATTCCTGGTTAGCAGTAAGTCCTCCAACCAAAAGGTTTGATTCCCCACACATCAGAGGGATGTTTTCAGCATCCCTGAAAACAAATATCCTCATCATATAGCCTTCATTCTATGCTTGGGAGAGAGACAGCATCCCAGGCACCTGTCCTTTGTCCAGACAGAGGCAGGTCTACCAGTTGGTAATTTGTAGATATGCCAACATAAATGGCACCTGTTTTCTTTCCAGATTATGAGAGAAATAGTTGTCATCTGCTCAATGCTCCCTTTGTAGTTTCTGAATTCAAGTAGTTGGGTTTTCCACACTCTGAGGGTTTTCCAATGTACAATTTCATATATCCAGCTTGCTTTCCTCCTACGTCCCTACTTCTGCCTATCCCCTTCATGGACGAGCTGCTTTTGTGCAACAATTTACCTACCAACCATGCCAGTGTTTTCAGGTGAGAATGGATTTTTTCCCCCCTTCTTCCTGACCCTAACTGACGGGCAAAGTCTACACAAGCAGCAGTGGTGCTTTTCCCTCACTCACAAGACACTTACACCAGAAATCCACTTGCTGAAAGCTCTTGGTCATGATTACATCCCGTTTCCCTTTCAGTTTCTTGGGTTCCATCTCCATGGATTGTGGGTCAGGCCTTCCAGAGCTGAGAAGGAAACAACAGAAGGATGGTGTTAACCTAGCAAGATGCTGGGACTGCACACAGAGATAAGCTGAAGCAATGGGGCCTAACCAACTCCTTCAGTCCCAAAACTGTAGCAGAGAATTAACTAAACTTGCCACCCAACCTGCCAAAATCTGGTGTATCAGATCCGTAAGGCTAAAGCCCACAAGAGAAAATGGCTTCAGCTAGAATAGGTGCACAGGAGTAGGCAACCACTCCTATCAAACATCCCAAGGCAGACCTCACAAGGAAGAGCTTTAATAACTTCAAACAGATCAAGTATATTCCTCAACACCACCTTTAAGCTGGGAGGTAGGTGGAGAGAAGGGGTTAGAGTACATCAGACCAAAGCTCAGCAACATACCAAGGCTGTCCATACTCCTGGTCCCGGTGTGGAGAGCAGGCCTCTGTTTTTATCGTCACCATCTCCCCTAAGGAAGCTTGGGTCTGGATCAAACAGTCCCTCAAGTTCTCACTCATGTTCTGAAAAAGAATGAAGGAAGGGAGTAGAGATATGAGTAGCTGAGAAATGACAACCTTGCTCCCCCAGGAACCACAGCTTTCTTCCCCAGGCCAGGATGCAGCCAGCAGATCAGGCATCAAGAGTTGCCATCACACACCAGAGCACCCACAGGTGCACCTGGAAACCTCTTCCTGCACTGGGGAGGGAAGAGCAGTTCAGCTGCAGGTCAGGTGAAGAGCGTGAGACACCACAGAACGACTTGAGGTATGGAGAATCTGAAGTATGCTTCACAGAGCCCATTAAAAACATACACAGGATTTCCAATTGCACATGGAATTTAAGAGTAATGGGTGTGCTATGCTATGGGAACACGGAGCACCACTACCTCAGAGCAAGTCTTCGGGGGCAGAAGGACAAGAAAGAGGAATGCAAATTGGGGCACTGAACCAGGATCTGCCTACAAACCTTACATACGCCAGTCTCCATATAGGAACAGAATACAGTGTACCACACCCCTACAGGTAGAGCTTTCTATGTGCTCTAGACACCTCTGAGGAACAGACAAGTGCCTACAGCACCCTTTGGGACTCCACCAAAATTATACAAATCATATTTGTGATGTTCTTTTTCAGCAGCCAGAACTGAGCCGCCACCACCCTTCTGGCACACAAGGCTGCCATACTGAAAATGACTCTCCCTCTGCTCAACACAAGAGCCAGGAGGCACTGCACAGAATCATCAATCACTTAATGATGTTTAAGGACAGCAAGCTCCAAAACAATAACACTTCCCTCCCCCTCCCATCATGGGGTGGTGCTGAAGAGAAAATATAGATATGTCAAGTGATAATAATTTGGAATGGATTTAATTTAGATTTTTGGAAGGATGATTAAACATAAGAGCATCTCAGTGTGAGAAAATGAATAAATTAGAGTGCTGCTCATCTCTTCATTTCCATTTATCTTAAGACTTCCTCTAAGGTACACAAACTGTCTGATCTCAGGTACCACACCAGATCAGACAGATTTCACAGCTGCTACCCCCAAATCCCCTGTGATGGCCCCTTCCATGCCCAATGACATGCTCTGTTATGCTGCATACTTGCAGTGCTGACAGAGGGGCCTCCACAGCTCATCACACCACTTCCATCAGGGAAACTTGGCTCGGGGTATTTCTAAATTCAAGTTCACAAACCCCTGAAGACATGAATTTTCTTATTCCACACATGCTTGTATGGGCCTGAACACAATGGAAGTCTGGTCTGCATTTCTGCCCTATTTTCCGCAAGAAGGAATGCCATTCCCAACCTCTCTGGCTCTACTTCATGCCAGGGGACAAATGATTTGTTTTTCCAATCAAACTTCTCACATGCCAGTGTGCAGCCTGAAAGACATTTATCAAACCTTTATCAAGGAGTGTTACTTAATACTCATACAGTGGTCTGAAAGCAAAGCCTCAGCGTAAGTACAACTAGACACATGCAAACACATGCACTTTAAAGCCTGTACAGGACATCCAAAACAAGACAGAATTCAGAATTACCACAGCCATTCAGAAGGAAAGCAGTAATAAGGCCAAAGGAGGGCTCATTATTTTGGCAGGCTGAGTCCCTTGTCTGCGCTCTCTGGAGCAAGAGGAAAGCTCTGCAGTCCTGTACCCATACAGCAGCCAGTACTGCAATCAGGGCCTACCTAGCCTTCTCAGAGAAGAAAAAGCCTTTTCTGCAAAGTCTGCAGTAAAGCAGCTGAAGAGGGAGAAAGCTTGGGGAGCAGGAAAATGTTAAAAGACAAGAAGATATAAGTGGTGTGCCAGTGCTGGTTAGCTGTGGGGCCTGCACTTTCACAGGAACGGTGGATGCTGTCTGTGGGGCAGGTGCTCTAAGTCAGAACAACCACGTGTTGGAAGCCTGGCAGACAGGACACCGGAGTTAAAACACCCGCATCCCCCAATCATTCATCAGGAAGAGATGCATGCCTTTGTTTCTGAAGATAAAATGACTTTTCCTTTCTCACTCTTGCCCCACGGATTCTTACAGAGTGAGAGAAACCTTGCAATGACACGGTCTGACCTCCTACCAAAGAAGGTCACTGTGCTTCCTTCAGCTCTGGTTAAACTACTGCATAGCTCCAAATAAAGGGGAAAAAGGAAGAAGAAAGAAACACTGTGTTTACACATGAAGCTCTGTTTTACTGCATAGCACATTATGCAGCCCACCCCTCTCCTGGTCCTCTCTGAACTCCCTCCTACTTATCAGTAACATTCCTGCGCAGCACACTGGCAGGAGCAGCACCTTGCACCGAGATAAGGCCCTCCCTGCCCCTGCTCAGGATTGCCGTGTTTGTGTCCAAGTGCTGCATTCACTTTCTGGTCACTGTGCCCAGCTGGGGTTCTGTTTCCAGCGAACCGCTGTGCTGCTCTAAGAGCCCTTGCTCCTGCCACAGCTCCCAGGCCACCACGCATCCTGCCAGCCCTCCCACCTGCTCTGAGAGTAGGTGACTGCTTTAAGAGCATCACACAACTCCTTGTCCCACCCAGCACACAGCTGGCCCAAGTTCACCACTAACACTCCTCTTTTCACTACCTGCAACTTGCCCAGATTTTATGTTGCCCACAAACACAATCCAAATTAAGTTTGTGCTTTTTTTCCCAAGACACCAACAATCTTAGAATCAAGAGAATCATTTGGGTTGCAAATGACCTTTAAGATCATGTCCAATGTAAATCTAGCTCTGCCAAGTCCACCATTAAATCATAGAATAATTTATGCTGAAAATTACCTTTAAAATCATCAAGCCCAACCATAAACTTAGCATTGACAAGTCCACCACTAAACCATATCCCCAAGTGCCATAGCTACATGCCTTTTAAATAACTCCCAGGGTTGGGGACTCAACTACTTCTCTGAGCAATTTTTTTTTAATGCCTGATAGCTCTTTTGTAATTTCCAATCTAAACTTACCCTGGTGCAACCTGAAGGCATTTCCTCTCATCCTATCACTTCTTAATAGGGAGAAGAGACTGGTTTCTGCCTCTTTATTAGAACTGAGCTAAAAACCAAAAAATTTCCAGCTGAGACTCCTACACTACCAGCAGTGGGGCTCCTTTTGTTGCCACACTGTGACCCTTTATTTAGTCAGGTTTCCTTTTATGTACTGAATCACATAATAGCATGGGTTGGAAGGGACCTTAAAGATTGTCTAGTTCCAGTCCCACTGCAGAGACAGCTTCCACTAGACCAAGCTGCTCAAAGTACCATCCAGTTTGGCCTTGAACATTTCCAGGGATGGGGCAGCCACAGATTCTGTGTTCCAATGCCATACCACCCTCACAGTAAAGAAATTTTTTCTAGTATCTAATCTAAATCTACCCTCTTTCAGTTTAAAGCTATTCCCCCTTGTCCTATTGCCACAGGCCCAGCCAAAAAGTCTGTCCTCAGCTTTCTCAAAAGCTCCTTTCAAGTACTGAAGGTCAGCAATCATGTCTCCCTGGAGCCTTCTGTTTTCCAGGCTGAACAATCCCAAGTCTCTCAGCCTGTCTTTGCAGCCCTCTGATCATCTTCATGGCCCTTCCTCTTCTGGACTCACTCCAACAGTGTGTGTGTGTGTGTGACACACTGAATCATCCCACCTATTTATTCTCATGATTTGTTGCACAATTTCAGTGCATTAAACATGTTATACTTATCAACAGTTTTACCTTTAGTAAAATTATAGCAACACCAGAAAATCATCTGGTGTTGCTATAAATCATCTAACTATGTTAGAAAAGAATGATCTAAAAAAAACCTGTAGAGACTGATTATTACAATTAATACCCCTTAACTCATTACCAATCTGATCCATATCAGCTGCTACACTATTTTACTGGAAGTGAACAACAGACTGTGGGTAGCCTAGTTTAATTTGCCCAGTTAAACTTGAAATTGGCCTACTTGCTTATGAGTAACAGACAACCTTTTTTCAAATCTAGCTCATTATACATGTTTTTTTTTTTTAATTATTTTTAAATTAGCATTTATGGCTCAGAGAGCACTGCTCAGCCAGGCCTTTTAAAGTCCCTGGACGCAAGTAAGCCAGAATAGCAAACTTTAAAATGTACTGCAAATAGCATCTGTAGTAGCTGCTATTTGCTAATTTCCCCAGCTACTGCTACAACACAGAGCATTATATTGCTGCTATAACTGGTAACACCTTCTATCTTTTCTTCCAGGAAAAAAAACATACGACACTTCTCCAGTTCCAGACTTCAGCAGATGACCATGCTTTTAGGACTCTTTTAGCTTCTGATGTATTCAAAGTGGTGTTTAATTTTTTGTAATTTCACTGCTCATTAATTCCTCTTTCTTGCCATTTCTCCTCCCCCTTTAGCTTTCTACAGCTACAAGAGTCTAGTTCACATTCTGCAGTTTTCACTCCCTCCACTTCATTGTTTTGGGGGTTTTCTTGGCAGTTTTTATAATTGTGTTTGTTCTATCACCCAAATATGAGGAGCCTCTAAAGATTTCAGATTATGTGGAGAAGCAGCATGTAAGCATAAGCAAAGCAGGCTCCTTGGTTATTGCTGAGTATTTCCAGGGTGTACTTGGCCTCATCTGTGCATGTCCCTGTGCCAACAAGAATGTTTAGCCCTCCCAATATTCAGTGGGCACACAGCCTACTGCAACATCCTAGCAGCATGTCAGCAAGGCCAATCCTTGGTGAGAGGGATGCTGTGATGACCCAGGTGCTGTCTGCACACAACATCAAGTGCTTTGGACAGCAAAGGCAGTTGTGCACAGAGGTCTTTGGCAAACCCAGGACATCAGCGTGACTGCTACAAATCCCAAGAGGCATCCCTGGATCATCCCTGGGTTCACAGGCTGTACCACACAACCCCTCCTGTTGTCAGGCAAGGACTTGTCATGTTTCTGCACGACAAATATTAAGATCTCCGGTGGTTCTGCCAGATTGCTCAAAATCAGGGAAGTAGAAAACACAAGAACATCTGAGCTATTAATCTCCAATGCAGGAAAAAACCTCCA